CCAAGTTTCTGATGCCAGTAAGATCTACAACCGACCTACAATTCGCAGCTAATCGTCATGTTGGATACGTTTGCCCCGCAGAGCGCCGGTGTGCCCGTCTCCAGCGCGGACCTCCAGCTTAAACTGACGGAAAACAAGAGCGGCCTGGGGATGGAGAACGGCACTGGGAAGAAACTCATAGAGATAACTGGACCGGCTTTATCCAAAAGAAAACTTCTGGTCGGCTTAGACCTGCTCTGCCTCTTTCTTGGTAAGAAGGCCTAGCTGATTGGATTTGTCAGTGTTTAACATAACACTATATTGCTTATTGAGGGGTCTGCATTGCCTTGAACAAGGCCATGTATTCCGCAGCATAACATACTTCAACATTTAACCCTGTGTTATAAGCTGATACAGCCCTGTGTTCATTGTGTTACTGGACTTCCGTGCAGTTTTTCTTTTTTCATTAATTACAACTACACTGGTGCCAGTGTGCATTAGTACAAACTACACTAACCGATATGCTGAATGGGTCTCTGTATTTTTTTTAACCGTAGGCTACAACGTAAGAAACTTGTTTTCTCGTGAATGTTTTTATAGCTGAAATCTGCATTCGATTCAGCAGTGAGTTGATAGACTTCAATCAGCTAATACCATTCTGTTGCCTCGAAAAGGGTTTGTGGATGTTTTTGCACAATTCTGTTAAATTCTTCCAAATAATTCAAGAAATATGGGTATTATAAAGGTGAGTCATTTGTTGTTTGTTTAAATCCATATGTTCTCCTACAGCCTCGAGTCATTGATGAATTTGTTCATCAGCGACAAAATCCCGTGCACTTGTTATTCCTTTCAATAAGATCACGTCGCCCATATTAAGTGCTGTTCCACTTTGTTTTCATCCCTTTCGGTCAAGAAATCAGTGGGTATTTGGGTACTTATAAACGTGATGATCGAGCTTAGAGTCTTCAGAAAAAAGCAGCAAATATAAAAAGGTGAAAAAAGGAGGAAACCAGAAAAGTAAAAGAGACAGAAAGTTAGTTTTCGCCCCTTTCATCTACATGCCACCCCTCTTTTTCTGCTGGCTCTTCAGCTCTTTGTGCCAGCTGGTTTGTGCATTGCCCAGGGAATTGTGCAGTTTCCATGACAACATACAGTTCTCAGGGTAGAGTCAGGCCAGGGGGAATTCAATAAATAATGTACGATCCATGACTATCACATGTGTGTGTACACATACATGATCACGACTCTACTTGTTGACCCTAGCTCATAGTGGTATTGGTGGTGGGAGAGGGGTTATGTAATGCTGGCTGACTAGAGCAAGCTGGACAGAGAAGTAGCCTGTATTAACAACAGATTGGATCTGTGCAGAAGGGTGGAGGCCCTGCGAGAAGTCTCTGTTTCTCTCTTTCTTTGTCTGTTTTGATGTCTGTTCCCCACCCTTGTCTTTTCTGTGTGTGCGTGCAGGCATGCAAACAGGAGGCAGAGAAGGAGAGAGGACATGAGAGACAAACAGAGACAGTGTGAGGCTGGTTCTGGCTCGGGTCTATTGGCGCTTTTACGCTTTGTTTTGTTGGGAAGAGCTCAACTGGAGTCACAAACAACCCCCCCTTTCTCTCCTCATCAACAGAAATGCATACACTTAGAAACAAATACACACATGCGCAGCCAAACTGGGTCTTTTACTGAGAGCTCCCTTGCTCCGCTCTTCCACTCTCAGTGGATTCAGCTTTTATTCAGTAAGGAAACTGGAGCTTTCGGCTGTTCTCTGAGTTTCTTTGGTCCCAGTGGAGGAGTGTTATGACCCCGACATTCCTAAAGGTTGTTCTCCAAAGAAAAAGTTGGATTTCCTTTTTTCTGTAACCGTCTTACTTTCCCAAACTTTTTTCCTTTCTCAAAATCCCTATTCATCTGTCTTCTATGTTTCATTGTAGCTTTAAATTTATGTTTTGATTATATTATTTTTATCTATCATTAACAATGTCTCTTCTTGGTTAACCTGAGATGAGACCTTACTCCTCTTTTCTCCTCCCATGTATCACTTTCAAAGAATACTTTCACCCGGAGGAAAACTGGGGATTTAAAATACTTAACTTTGGTCTAATTCTATTTTTCTCCCTTTTCTTCCTCCCACTCAGCTTCCATCCCTTTATTTGCATGTGAGCTAAAGGCACTGAGTCCTTACAGAAGAGGCTTCATTTGTGGGGACCCCAGCATCACGTATCCTTACCTGCACAGAGAAGCCATACCAGATGAATTACTCATCACAGGTGGCATCATCATCACCGGCCTCACTGTGAGTATTCGTCATCTTCATCATTCCTGTCGTATCAGTCACCCCATTGTCATTTATTGTACAACAACATGTAATCTTGCGATTCTCACGTTGCATCTGAATCTAGATCGCCCTCGGCGAGTGTTATCGGGTGCGTTTCCACGGTGTCAGCTCGAAGGCCTTTGTGAGGAACGTATACGTTTCGTGCCTGTACAAGGAGCTGGGGTGCTTCCTGTTTGGATGTTGTGTTGGCCAATCACTGACCAACATGGCCAAGCTCAGCGTGGGACGGCTGCGACCGCACTTCCTGTCAGTGTGCGGCATTACCTATGCATCACTCAACTGCACACCTGGGACCTACATTGAAACAGTGACTTGTCGCCAGCCTGACCACCAGTTAGAGGAGGAAGCCAGGTGCGTGTCTGCATTCATGAATTTGTGCTTTTAATGTCGTATTGAAATTTGCAATTCTAAATACTTCTCCACTTTTTCAGGAAGTCCTTTTTCTCGGGCCATGCTTCTTTTGCGATGTTCACAATGCTCTATTTAGCTGTGAGTATCTCTATTTATTAGTCGCTTTTTCCAAAATGTTTCTCTTCCTCTATCTCTCTCTCTCTTTCTCTCCCACACACCACACATTCACACTGGCAAAGAAAATTGACTGTCTCTCCAATTTCCAATTACCATCACTCTGTAAAATGCTGAGAGAGAATGAATGAAACAGGGACTCATCCCCAGTCCAGTTAGCATCAAAGAGCGAGAGAATAAGAGATGAGGGACTGGAGGGAGATACGGCACAAACAGAGACTGCTTTGTTCTGCTTTGGGAGGAGTGTGACCTCGTCTCACTGTGCTGCTCTATTGTACAAGAGTGTGTGTGTGTGTGTGTGAATATGTGTACTCATTTTTATGCAGACGTAAATGCTGCATCAGCAGAAATTCAAGTATTTTCACAGCTAACAAGCTCAGCGTAAAGAAAATATAACATGATTGTTCATGATTGATCTTAAATGTTCTATAGTGTCCTATAGAACTTTACATATTTATATTACATGCAAAGAGAGCGTATTTAACTATTAATCTTTGGTGGGAAGATTTGGACCCGGCTTAGACAAAGTCTGAGTCAACAAACTGTAAAGTTTTCAGCTTACAACA